TCTTTTCTCAGAGTGTTTTATAACTATTGTTCTCTTGCTTTGTCTGCTTTTGTTGCTGAAAGTTAGAAAATGCAGGATTTAGAACCTTCTTTCTTTCTTCTGTCTATGGATAGCCATAAGTACATGGAATTTGTTACAGCATTTTTAAGGATCCACGCTTTTTTTCTTTCTGTGGCTAATGTCAGTGTTTAACTATATTAATCCATGCAGAAGATTTTAAATTCACTTACAAAATGAATATTTGCTTTTCAAAAGTTCTGTGCAACCCAACTGTATAAATCGGTTTCAGGAATCGTCAGAAGAAGTACTGTCCTAGTTCTGCTGCTTGGGTCTTTGCAGAAATGGACCGGTTTCATCGAGTTTTGTCTTCCTTCATTGTCTTGTTCCTCTCATTTCATTGTGAAATGGTTCTCAGATTGCATTTTCGTCATTTTATGGTTTCATTTTTGTCTCTCCTTCACATCCACCACTGAATGTTAGACAAAAATGTATTGAAAATCTAAACTAATCTGAGAGTGGAATTCTACATATGAGTAAGGCTCACTTAAAATTATTATGTAAGCCAAATATTTGCATACAATGCCTGGGAAATAAATTGTTGGTTCTGTATTTGCTGTGGCTACTCCGGCCTTATTGTACAATTTCTTGATAGCTCAAATACTGAACCCCCCCTGCCCAGAATTTATCCATAGCAATTATGGTTAATACTTGAAACTATGAGATTATGTAATGACAGTGCTGCATAGTTTGTTTTTGGGGGGGGACTTAGGTAGAATGGAGGTAAATAACCAGGCAGGATAGAGAGGAGGCAGAAATGGACAACCATTTTATAGCTGCTGAATCTTACCTAAATTTAGTGCATCAACATTTCTGTGGCATAGGCAAATAGTCCTTCTGTGCTAACTAAAGCTAACATAAACAACAGATTTGAATGGCTAATACTCCCTTTTCGTGTTTGCTTTTTCTGGTCAATCTGATTCAAGTTGCTTCTTCCCTGGTTCTCTGTCTCTTTGCTGCCATATTTTAATCCTGCTCTTTCTGTGTTATTCCGTGCCTCCATGTCAAACCAAGAGCTGTTAATAACTTTCTTGCCTTCTGCCCAGTGTGATGATCATCCTTCTGCAGATCTCACAGCTGTGATGAGCATCACTGTCCAGACTGTTGGACCTAAACTAAATTTTGGGTACAGCAGATTTAGATGGCATGAGAGGATTTTGCTCTAGAGCAGTGTTGATCTTACACCCCATTTGAACATAAAATGTCTGAGTAGCACTACTGTAAGGGGAATTTGAATAGCTCTAAGTAAAGATCAGTTTCACTTCACTGTAGAAAGTGAGAGAATTTCCCTGAATAAAGCTTTTCCTATGTTGTCTCTTTTACGTGGTCACCGTCATCCAATTCTGTAAATTTCACACTGTTGGAGTTACTTTTCTGCTGGAGAAAATATGTTGAAGTTGTTAGGATCTGACCATAGAGGCAAGAACAGTGCAGGTGAGGTAAAGAGGATGTCTTGCCAGTGCAAGACAGTGGAGAACCTGGCCGTGGATTACATATGATTGCCTTGGGTTTATGTTGCCATTTTGTGCTTATTTCATTTTGCTCTGAGCTGTCAAAGTATTTCACAGACAGTGAAATTGTTAGATTTTCTTTGGTTTCCAGTATATACAGCAATACTGAAATTTGTCCAAAATCTCTCTGCCTCTCAGAATCTGTATTAGAGCTTCTAATGGAATCACGAAGTCCCACGCTCCTTTGTGTGTCCTCTGTAATCAGCATGCCGATCTGATTTCACTGCCTGCAAGCTTCTCTGGCTTTCTGTATCTAGTTCCACTGGTACAACCACCTTGGGATGCATCTGGGTTCAATTCAGTCGTATTGTACAGTGATAAGGGATGCATGCAAGTTGATCAGAAAGTATGTGGCTAGTAAACACCAGATTCCACCTTTCCTGAATGATTAGCTTGCTTTTTGAAGTTCTAATGATTTTAATTTGGCTTGGAGTCAGTAAGTAAGCGTATGCAAAGCCTTAGCCAAAGTACCTATTTATTTATTTAAATGTTATCAGCATATATTTCTTCAAAGAAGAATACCTATCGCTTTGTCTATGCCCTTTTTAATAAATGTGTAGGTATCTGAATGTTTAACTACCCAGTCAGCCTGCTCACATTCCCTCCGTTGTGTCATGGATGGTAGCAGATAGTAGAAACAGGTTTGGTTTTTTTCCCCCCGTTAATATGGTTTATAGAGTATTCGTGACGTGTAAGAATGATGTCTGTTCTATTTCATTCTTTTTTCCATTTCAGATTTTTAGAAAGCAGCGAGGGTTGTTTTTCCTATCTTTGTTCTGTCTGTTTTCAAAACATAAGTTGGTTTTTATTCCCCGAGAAAGGATATGAATAGCTTAAAGATTTATTTAAAATGTGAATAGAATTCTTCTGGACACAAATCACCCTAATTATCTGTTCATCTTCTGGACTTCACTGTTTAAAACTTGTCAAGAAAGAATAAATTTCTACTTTTTCCCTCTCATGTTCTTTCTAGGAGAAGGACTGTCCATGTTTGTGGTTCTTTCTGATATTTGCAAAATTGCTGTTAGACTTTGAACACTACAGTAATGTAAAAGAAAATAAAAACCTCCAGTTTATGTGGTACTTGTTACTAGAGAGGGAGACACTTTCAGTGGACATGCTTTTTGTCTTCTTTGTTAAGGAGTGTTTATGTAACCTAGAGCTATGCTGAAAAAAATCATTCAAGGAGCCAGAAATGTTCCGTGACGCGGCACTTCGTGTTAATTATTGCATAGAACTGTATGTGGTAGTTCAGTTTATGGCACTGTTAAGGATTCTGTCTTTAACTCTTACTGTAGAACGTAAAATGTTGTGATTACAGTTAAATACTCAAATGCGACAGAACTAAGTATCCAATTTATAAAACTGAATGTCAGTACAGCGTTATTGTTGGCTTGAGTTGTTTTACACTCAAATACAACGTACTGAATGGAAGCAGAAGCTCAAGTCTGGGCATCTTTCTGCGGGTGCTTGGTCCCTGATGCCCAACAACCTGGCACAGGTCCCAGCAGTGTAGTTTGCACATCGTGCAGCCGAACGGATTCGTTCAGCTTCCTCTTGTGTTCTGTCATTAAAGGGGTCCTGCCCGCCTGGAGGTTCTGCTGAGCTCTTGGCCATTAAGATGCTTTGCTCTAAGGAGTTGCACAGGCAAATGGTACACTTGGAAGTTTCTTCACAGGACTTTGAATTTACCTCCAATCTTACTGGAGTTCCTTCTTTTGAACATAAGTTTGCAAACTGTTTTTCTTATTTTGATGTTGTCCTCATGGTACCTTTTATTTCTTTCTTGCCTGAAATGAACAATTCCGTCTTTTTAGATGGTTTTTTTTTTTCCCTTACAACTTTGTACACCACAATTACAGCTTTGGTTATGAGTCCTTGAAGTCCCTCTGTTGTGGCAATATCTTCTTCAATAGTGTGTCTTGGGTAGTCAGGTTTTTTTATTTATACAGGGACAAAAACATTTTCTGAATTACTTTTTCTCACATAACTTTGGGGTTGTTTTTGTTTTTTCTTTTTTTTGAACTTCATTGCTCCTGCCCATGGGCTGGAGTTCTGAACTCGTAAAGTGTTATCCAGCTCTCTTTCTTGAGTCAATACCATTAATTTGTAAGCCAGTTAAGTATTAGAGTGTATTGCTTTTGTCAATATTGACTTTTCCCTGCTATTGTATTTCTCTTATGTTAGTTAATTACGTGTACCTGAATCTCCTCTAGTCTAGACTTACCTACATGTTTTAGTGTCATTTGCAGCTTTGTCACTTCTCTGATAACCTTCTGATGGCTGGCCCATACGTAGCTACCACAGACCACTCTGATAGCGACCAGTTCCTGCCCTTCCAGCTCCCCAAACAGCAGAAATGCATTGCTTATTTCCAATGTTTGTTTTCTGTGCAAATTCTTGAGGTTTTGTCCCCAGTTATTTCATTACACCAAACACATTCCTGGAAATCCATGTGGAAATCCATATGAAATGTTCTTTTCATTTTATTCTGATGCATTAAGTATTCTATCAGATATGTGAGGTACCTTTTCATTTTACTAAAATTGTGATAAACAAATTCTGCCTGTGATCTGTGTGTCTTCTAGTTGTGTTTTATTCAGTTTTGTCTAAATCGTTGTCCTGAAAACATATATATGCTGGTCTAAAAGTTCCTTGAAAGATTCTAAGTTCTTCAAAATGTAAGTGTAGTATATGCTACCATGCAATCCTGAAGTAGTCATTTGCATAAGAATATTTTCTTATAGGCTCAAGCAACCTATTCTTAATTTCTTCTGATTTTTTGACTGTATGTATCCTATGTGGCTTGCTAACTTAATGCTTTTTTAATTTCTCCTTTCTATTTTTCCTTCTCCCCTCCTTTCCTTGTTGCCTATGTCGCTGGTGGCATCTCCTCTTTTTTATGTAGAAAGAATAGGTTCGAGGTAAGTATCTTTCTAATATGTAGTCGGCAGAAACTGATGCAAGAAATTGTTTATCTTTTCAGCAACACCCTCATTTTCTTTAATTACATCTTCACCTCCTCTAATCCAAAAGACCTACTTATTCTCCCTTACCCGTCTCGGTGGTTATTGCGTGGTTTATACCTACAGCTGTTTACTTCAGAGCCCATTTCAGGTCTCTTTGTTTCGTTCTTACACAATGAATCTTATAATCTGCTTTGTTGGCTTCACAAACATTGTATTTCCATATTCTGCATAACTTTGCATTGGATTCCTATAGGTGGAATGGCTGTAGGGCACTCTAAAATTGTACAACAGGTCTATAAACTAAAGAAGTGTTATGCTTGTTTGAAGAAGACATAATATTTCATTTTCAGAATGCAAAGTTCATCTTAGCACTTGAAGTGGATACATTCCCCCTTTGCCAATGGATTTAAGATTTGTTTTTGAATTTCTTATGTTAATAAGTTAATTTCTGCTGATTTAACAGGTTTTAGATGCAGGAAGACTAAAAGAATATGGTGAGCCTTACATTTTGCTGCAAGAAAAGGACGGCTTGTTTTACAAAATGGTGCAACAAGTGGGCAAGACAGAAGCAGCTTCTCTGATTGAAACAGCAAAACGGGTAATTTTATAATTATAATTCAGTTTGTCTCTGCACTTGGTTCATCACAAGTTAGCATATTCAAGGTTATAGTAGGCATTCTGCTAAACATCAGAATCTGTTGACTTAGGAAGGCTGAACCCTCATTTTCACTGATTTTTTTTAGTGCTTACACACAGGGTTCCAAATGATAGGTGTATTTATGTACCCCGAGTTGAAAGAGTGTGTTTCTTGCATCCTTGTGTACGTACTCACAGTGCTAAGTGTGAATAATATATGACATACGCACCTGTGCTGGGCACGTGTCCTGCAAAAACTCGCTTTAAAAACATACAAAGGCTGCAGACTCCAGCATTTACTTCTCCTGTATTTTCTAAAAGGCCCAACCAGTGTTAGTGTGAGGTTCAGTACTAGTTCATTAAGTTATGATCACTGGGAGTGCGATCATAGTTTTATTTCTCTTACTTCGTTCTTTTACCTTTGCTTTGTTGGGATGAATCGCGCTCAATTAAGAAACAGCTGTTGAATGTTTTGTTGCCTCCTTGTTCCATGCGAGGCTCTGTGCTGGATTTACTGCTTACTATTCAAACCCTACTCTTGAGTGTAGCATTATTAATGTAATTGGGAGCATTCCTCTGGCAATCAAAGTGTTTAAGAAACATCAATGGATTAATTTTCATAATATGCCTCTGAGGTGAGGCTGTATCATCTCCACTTTTCAGATGGAAAGCTAAAGCTGAGATAAGAAGATAAAAAGAAATGACCTTTGATTAAGGAACTCATTTTGACTAGCTTTTGGCGTGCTTTCTCTTTTTTTGTGATAATTCAGCACACAGGATGTCCAAAGCCAGGGTGTATTTTTCGTATTGCAAATGAAGTTTCAGCACTGCTGCAGCTGAGACTTGCAGTGCTTGGTCTGGGAGCAATTTGATTATCTTCACACAACTTTAAGTGTGCAAGTAAGGCACTGATATTAGGCGTGTAGCATCCTAAGAGACTTTCCACACGAGAGAACAAGGTCTTATCTCTGTCCTCTATGCTTTCTTCTCCTCAAGTTGCTTGATGTGCAGATCGTAAGGGGGACACAAATTGCAAACTATTTCCTGGGGGGAAAGGAGAGCACTAGGCATGGAGCAACTGATAAAGACAGCAAACAAAGTGACAGGTGTCTGCCTGCTTCCTAGTAAGAATAGCCACATTTCTGGAAAGTTGGAAAAACAAATTGTGCAGTCAGGGACGCTGGGTGCTCATGTATTGCAGCTGTTTCGGTGGGCATTTTGAAGCATAGGGAAGAGCTTTCCATGTCTGTGCACTCTCAAGTTTGTTGTTGATTGTTTTTTGTTATACCAACTAAACCTCTTTTGGGATTTTTTTTTAAAGAGTTTTTAACATGAAAACTTTGCACCTTATAAACCCACGCGTGGCACTGATTGCCTGAACTGAGGAAATGGCTTTTGTCAGCTGCTGCAAAGTAGCTTCTCACATTTTATTACTAAATGTAGTGGTTTAGACATGTTTTTTGTTGGTTGTTGTTTTTTTTTCTTGCAACACGTGTATGAAGATCTGAAGATTATATAAATGATGTTGAAAAGAATCGGTTCTAATTGATGAGACCAGTGTTTGTCTGGCCAGGCTTCCTGGGACTTAATCCCTGGGATGGCTAGGGGTGGCTGTCCTGATATCACCAACAGAGATTCAGCCATGTCATGCTGTCTCTCCTTCCTTCCTTGCAGCCCTCCTCAGTTGCAAAATTGCATTAAAAGATAAATCAAAATGTATAAAAATAATTGCCTGATGTTACTTGCCCATATAGTTACCACATCAATGTTACGTGATTTTGTACAGGAAGGGAAGAGATCCAGGAACCGGTCTCTGCTGAAATGTGGTTTGATGAAAAAGTTTGCTAACTCCCAGGCTAGAAGGCAGATACAAGCTTTTGCATCTGCCAAGAATGCAAAGCACGGTGCTTATCCACACTCAGCCCAAAAAATGGGAATCGAGAGACTATATCTCCAGTCAGCAGCTACCCAGAAGCACAGTTACAGTTCTTTCTGTTTAAAGGACTTGGGCATTAATTCAAGGTTTTTGTTATTGCTGTCCCTTGTGTTTCATGCATGCTTTCAGAGAAGTTGCTTAGTAAGAAGAGCTGATTCTGGGGGCCGTTCATTTTGCACACGTGTGTCGGTTGCACGTATTGCTGCTGGTCTCATACCTTCTCTTGTGGTTACCAAGAACTGTTTTTATGAAGAATTGCTTTTTGCTGTTGTTGAAGAACAGCACACTGCACATAAAAGGAAATGGTAATATAGCATATACACGTATTTTTCAAAAGGTGTTACAGTGAGTTGCTAAGTGAAATGGTTTGGAATGTGGCCATGCTTTGACAGTGATCGTTTGATTTATTGTGCTTTGGACCCAAATCTTGAGCAGAGCAAATTAGTACCAAGAGCTTTTCTTCCAGTAAGGTGAGATTTTCAATCAGTTTTCTGGAAGAGTATGGCTCTTGCGTATATTCCTTAGGTGTGAACAAAGAGGGATTATGGACCTTACGTTGGAAGATTTAACTTGGGACATCTTTGAAAGAACCACGATTATCTGGGAATAAAAAGAAAGAAAAAAAACCACACACATTGGTTATCTTAGCTAAGCATTGAAAGATTAAACTATTCAGGATCACCATGCCTGCTGAAAACTTAGTTCAAGCTTCTCAGTGGACCCAGGCTTGCTCCCTGTATGTCTCTTTTGGTCACCCCATATCCCGTATTTTTGTGTAAGTGTGAAAGAATGCAGTGCAGGCACAGCTCAGACGGAGGCTGCCGTCTGCGAGCCTGACTGCAGTGGAGTTGGCATCATTGGTCTTTGTTCAGTTTACAAGAAGCTTACTAGGAGAAAATCCCGTGGGAAGGTAAGAAATGAAATAGTTAGAAGAATTTTTTTTTTAAGTGTGTTCAGTGTTTTAGATTACAAAAAAAATAGATAGCCTCAGAGTGTTCTCCATGCTGTCGTCGGCGCTCGGAGAAGCTTTTCCACAAGAGCAGGACTGTTCTTCTGTCAATCAGTTTTTGAGTACTTTGAGGGAAGAGTGAGGGTGATTTTATTTTAGAGCTATGATGGATGCGTAAATATTAAAAGAGGTGTTATCTCACCTCCACGATTACTCATCAGAGGGTTGCAGCTCTGTTGGCTGTGGAAGAAGCTTGTGTAAAGACTTGGGCATTTAGTATCTTGAGGCATTGGGCTCAGGGGAAGAATCACAATGAGACAGTTGAAAAGCAGCTGCCGTTTCATTAGGTCTCTAGTAATGTGCCAAGGTTTTCTATTAACTTTGAAAAAAATTCACGCTCAGAAGCTCCATTTAAAAAGTATGCCAGAGTTTTGTGTTTCTAACCAGGAACAGGATGGGAGCGCAGCGCTGGGGCTGCAGGCTCTGCGCTGTGTGTGTGGCTCCTGATTAACTCTCTGCTGCTGAATCCGATCGGGGCTGGTTACTGAGGAATGCCTCTTAGCAGCCTCCCAGTTGGTTCGATTAAAGCCTTAATATTCTCTGCAAAGAGATATTGTCTGAAGATATGTATATCCTGCGTTGGTGTGCGTACACAAAAGACGACAGTGGTACTTACAGGGATGTTTCCATAGAGCGACTATTCCCCTTTTATACCCCGTGTCTTATACATGCATTCATATATCCGAAAGGGACGTTATTATCAAACAAACCAAACTTTGCTGACAACACTCTGAAACGTAAATTGGAGAAATATTTCATAAGCTGTAGTCGGGGCAGTATTGACTACGAGACCTAACTCGTGACATGTGTCAGGTTCAGAAAGATAGTGCATTTTCTGTTTTTGAAGACTCAAACAAAACTTTTCACATTTTTCTTTGAAAAAAAATGCATTTGAAGTCCTTTTTCACCCAAACACATTTTTAGATAAGAGCACACAAGTCTTGACATTATTTCATTTTGTTATGCGCATCTGTCAAGGAACAGAGATATGATACAGCTACTAAAAACTGATGATTGTGGAACAGTGAAACTTGACAGCATTTCATTTCCTTTATGTTCTGATTATACATTTATCAGGAAACCTGTATCTCTTCTAGTTCAGCTAGAAATTGGTAGAATTCAAGAACTCAAAGGCTTGGCAAAGAACCGTCCTATTATTTGGTATCATCTTACATTTTAGAGAAGTTGCTTGGTTGAGTCATTGTTAAAGCTTTTGCTTCTTCTTTCATTATTGTGGTTTGCTATCCAGAGATCACATTTCTATAGGCCCTATAACTGCTCTGCAGCACAAATTAAACGCTGGGATATTTCATACATATACCTCGACGTTTCAATGGTTGTCAATCACAGTTTGTAAAATACAGGGATTACAACCTGATATTAACATCCAAATCCATTGTGTTCATTTTATGTGTGAAAATGAGAAACCCTTGTGCAGACGCAAGATTTCACAGCTTCTTTGTCATCCTGTTTTTAATTTATCTCCGTGTTTTGAGCTAGTAAAATGATTTTACTTATCAATTTAATGCGAAGTGATAATATATATCTGTTTATCTGAATCACCAGAATTTGAGCAGACCTACAGGTTGTGTGGGGTTTTTCTCAGACTTTGTTACAATCTAAGATCATCAATAATTTTAGTAATTGTCCAGTGCCGTAGAATCACTGAGTGGCCTGGGTTGAAAAGGACCACAATGATCATCCAGTTTCAACCCCCCTGCTATGTGCAGGGTCACAACCAGCAGACCAGGCTGCCCAGAGCCACATCCAGCCTGGCCTTGAATGCCTCCAGGGATGGGGCATCCACAGCCTCCTTGGGCAACCTGAAATTCCTCTTTGGATTCTTCAGGGTCACGCATTTCTTTGTTCTCTGTGTACCTCTAGAATTGTATTTTAAACTAAAAGGTGTTTAATGTAAAATGACGTACGGAATGTGATATTTTCCCTAGGTTTACTTCAGTAAGAATTACCCAGAAGTTGTTCAGAATGGTCAGCTTGCCACAGACTCCTCGCTGGATCCTTCCTCAGGATTATGTGTAACTGAAACTGCACTGTGATTCCTCATGACCACAGTTTTTTTCCACTGAATATAAACCTGAGAGCATCCAAACCATCGATGTTCACGAGTGTCAATGGGAGAGGAAAAAGAGGGGGCGATTCTTTGCACTGGACATCCTTTTATTTAATACTGAGAAGAAGAGTTTTACTATCCCTGTTTCTTTGATTTCAGTGCAATATATGTTTTTTTTTTCCTTTCCAACTAATTATTTTTGTATTGCTAAGGAAATTAGGCAGACTCAGTTCTTATTTGAAAGTTATGTGTCTGTTATTTAAACAGGTGCAGGACACCTAACAGGTCTAGGGTGCATCTTTGGAATTTATTAAAGAAAGATTGGAGTGTGTCCCTTTTCTCAGTTGGAGATACTTTGAGAGCAAACAAAGCCAAATGTTTTTTAGTGTCACCGTACCCCCACAGCTGTGCCTAAACAGCAGGTTTGGTTGTGTACAACTTAGCTTCTAACGGAGGTGTTTCTCTACCTGTCACAGGTAGCTATGCAGGTGGTAGAAAAAAAAGCAAAAAGAATTAAAAGCCAAAAACACTTTCTATTTTGATAGCAAAAAGTACTATATACGTAGATTTTTTTTATAATTCAAGTAATGCTGTTCAAGATGAATGTAAGTGTAAGTTTTATTTTGCTGAAATCCAGATGCTGAAAAATCAATCTCAGTCTTCTGTACTTTAGAAGAGAACATTTGCACTGAAGAAATATTTAAATAATTTAACACACATTCCTCTTTTTATCCAGGTTATCAGAGAAAAAAAAAAAAAAGTATTAAAATAACTTGAGGAAATCTTTGAATGACATGTCATTATACCTAAATACCACGTAGTACAAAGTTATCTCCAACACACCACATTGAAATGTATACGTTATTTGCATTTATTGTGCCTTAATATTTGTGCCTTCAAGCCAAAGCTGTAACTGCAGGGTACACAACAAATTTGTTAAATATATGTTAAAAATATTTAGCCTTAATATATTTAAAGTTTTGCATCAAGGATTCTGTTGAACTTGTGCTGTTTGAAGTTACCATACTGCTGGAATAGGTAGGGAAGTGCAACCCGTACGTTTGAATGGCTGTTGCTGGTACTGAGGAGATTGCAGTGAGATTCTGTATTTGTACACCATGTCCTGATTCAGCAAAGCACTTCAGTGTGAAGGCACTATTCTTGTGGTTTAAAAAGTCAGGCAAGTGCTCTTCTGCTGCAGAGCTTTTTTGTCTTCAGTGAGATACCTACCCTTTGAGGTCCAGTACAGAATAAATCTATTCCAATTATTGTCTGAAGGGACAGAAGGCACTGAAAAACAACAGGTCTCTTCAGGACACAGAGAACACTGTGCTTTTTAGAAAAAGAAAAATAATAAAAAAAGATGCTTGCTATTACCTTGGCAAGCTAAATATTGCTTACCCAATGTTCCCCCAACAGTCGAAAATTAAGGCGAACACAAATGTTTCTCATTTCAAGCCATTTTACCAGCAAGTAAGTTGCTGAAATACAAGACTGTTGCTTGTATTGTTGTTGAGAAGCAAACTGAGGCCAAAGCCTGTGCCTGAAGATAGGGGCTCATCCAGGAGGGCTTTGTCCTGTGCAGAAGTTGGTGGTGAGAGGCAGAACCTTCTTTCCCTGCTGCCTGCACCCCCACCAATTGGCTTCTCTGGTGGATGGGAGGAAAGACACGCGCTGGGTGTTGGATTTGCTGGCAGCATCCTCCTGTACTGTTAGCAGGAAGGTACGCAACGAAGCGCTCTTGCCCTTGGCTTTCTTTTGGCAGTCTCTAACACCTCTGTGGGGTGTCGCTCACTACTGCAAGTGTCTCTGAGATAAGTGGAACTGAACTTCACGTGGGTCTTGTCCTTTGTCTGGTGCTAAATACAGGGCAGTCAGGGATGACTACGTGTCCCCTGGCACAGATTGGCTCATGTAAGCAGCAAGCTCAGAGCTAATCCTTCTCAGAGCGCACCAGCCACAGCCTCTTTTCTTGATCGCTTTGCCCCCTATGTACCTAGCACACAAAACACTACCGTGTTTTGTTTTGTTTCTTTTCAATTCAAGTGGTCTCAAATAAGGATAGGGCTATTCTGCAGCTCAGCAGAATGTATTGCAGAGCTATGTGAAGATGTAGAGAAGTGTCTGAGGATGTAAAGTCACATGGGATAATGCTGGGGGATTGTATAGCATGGAGAAAGCTCAGCCTTGCATGGTCTTTCTTTTCTGTAACTGCCTTTTGGAAGCGGTCCATGGCATAAACCATGTCCAAGCTCTGCTCAGCCTTTATCATAGAGAGATCCAGTTGGAGTGCTCCAAAACAGAGCCAGAGTGAGCTGACTGTGACAGTGCAGACAGCTAACAGGGACTGGAGCTTGAGCTCATGCGTTTCCCTTTTTTATTCAGTAGTTTGGACAGATGCACAGGGTCTACCCATGCTTTGCAATATTGAATTATTTTGATTTCTAAATAGTTCATGCAAGAAAATAAGTGTGATGTATAATACGCTGAGACTTTTAAATGCTCTGAGAGAACATGATGTTTTCATGGCTATATATTTTGTTTATATTTTTTTAAAACGGAATTCAAGGAGATAGATAAACTGAGGGTATAATTATAGTTTTAGTTCATTTCAGCTCTGAAATGAAACTATAGCAAGTTGTATTTCAGTGCTGAGCTCCAAGACGCTGACTGCAGCCCACTCAGTGGTATGAGACCCTGACAAATTCAGCTCTCACTCTATAAGGCAGAGTTAATTTGATCCTGCAGATTTTTGAACGTGCACAAAAATGCTAGGTATCTGAAAATGCTCATCCTGCTTCTTCACAGGTTTTGACAGGACATTACTAGCTGTAGGTATAAAAGAATCAAATATTTAAAGAATCGCACTTGAAAACCATACGTTACTGAATAGATCAACAGATAGTGAGCCATTTGTGCCTGACGTTGCCATGATGTCCACCTTTTTAGTTTAAAGTAACAAATATATTTCAGTCAGGAAGTTGTTTCCTTTAGATTCTTTTGTTGCTTGTTGTTGAGAGTTGTTGTGAGTAGTTTAGGTGACTGTTGGTTAAGATGGACACACCTATTTAATTTTAGGTGGGTGACAAAGTGCATCGTGCCTGAAACTCGAGGATGAGAGAGGCCTTCCTTCGTTGAACGTTATGGTCTGTTGTATGTATAAATTATCTCTCCAGTGAGGTGTTTTGTGTTTCCTTCTAAAGAAAAGTTCAAATAGTTCTAAATTTCCACTTTGAAAATGTTCGTGCTTTGTTTGGAGAATAGTAAAGCTGCTTATTTCAAGCTACATTCCTTCATGGGGATCTTGGAAAAAGAACTCAGTCTTCAACATTATTAAAGCCTTTAAAATATTTCTTCACCATAAGGTGCCTTAAAGTATTCCAGAGTCTAATAGACAATTCTGTGCAGAAATACTGCATTGCAACAATTGTGGGACTGTTGTTTGGTTCAAAAGTCTGGGAACAGCCTCTACTTGAGATCGAAAGAACTGTTCCTCAAACGTTCATTTTGGTATCTCTTTGCTTTACCTGTCTATGAAAGACCACTGGGAGAGTCAAAGCCAACATGGTTCTCAATAATAGGTTATTTCTGATTTTGCTTAGGTTAAGGGCAAAATTCTGCTCCGTTGAACCACAGTTCACTTGCCAGATAGTTTTAGTCTTCTGTGATATCACTCATGCTCCTCTTTGGAAGAGGGAGGACCTCCTTCTGACCAAGATCAGGTTGATAAAGCGATATTGACAGTTTCTTTTAACCTTCCCAATACACATTTGGAAGTAAGGTGAAGGAAAGAACAAGGAGGCAGAAGGTCTAAATCATATAGAAATTTCAGTGAAAATGCTGCTTTCTGTGTTAATCCGACCCTTCCAGATGTCTCACCTTGAAGTCTGAGGGGGAAAGGGGAAGAAAAAGATAACTGACATCACTTACATCCTGTAATGATGATGAGCTTCTGACACATCAGCAGAAGAATGTGGCTTTCTGTATGTTTCACATTGTATAACATCGCACTGCTTTTCCATCATTTTAACTCCGTTTCTGTTTTGTTTTGGTTTTTACATTTGTGTAACAATTTGATTCTGTTATTTCTGTGGAATGATTTCTTTTGTCGACATCCACGACAGCTTCTGTCGTACAATAAAATGTGTTTCTCAGAAGTGTGCCGAATTCTGTCATCATTGTGAATGTATGGGTGAAGGCAGAAATGCAGGGCTGAGCACAGCACAGGACGTGCCCGAAAGCTCCAAACAACTCTTTGTAGCATTGCCAACTCCAAGGGCTGAAAATCCTCCATTATGAGGATAACACAGAATGCTACATCTCGGCTCATTTTTACCATTCTTCTGCTGTCTGAGATCTCCCAGGTCACATTTTCAAGCTTTTTGCCTCAATGGCAGGAACTAAAAAGTAATTCAGATAGATTTCCAAAAATCATTATATGACTTGAAGGCAGAACCACTGCAGCTGCAAATGTACGGATCAGATATGGTCTCTGCCTCGAACAGCTCACAAGCTAAATGGACTGGATAAAGCTAATGGACACAGAAAGAGTGGATTAGCAGCAAAACTCCAAAATCTGGTGTCGTCTCTCAATCCTGTACTTTTCTCTGATGAGTTTGTTACTTAATTCAACAAGACCCTGAAACTGCTCGTTTCTGAAAACTGCTCGAAGTTTCTCCCTGTCTGCCGACTTTCTCAAGCAGTTAAATCTGTGATTTGGGGTATGAGTTTTTAGTACAAGTTGGATTATGCATTTATCACTCATCTCCGAGGTTAGCAACTTCTAGAACTGATAAAATGGAAATGGTCACCTGTCCTTTTATAGCAAGATGCTGGAGCGTGTGTTCAAAATTCATGTTTCTACCAAAAGTCTGCAATGCAACTGCAATGCAGCTATTTTAACTTGATATATAAGTGAGTTTATATTAGCTTGTCCCAGCACAGCAGATGCTTGTGGTATGTACAGTATCCTGGAGCATGTGCTTACCAAATTCTTGTGCTGCTGTTGTTAATGTAACGTTGTCGAGATGAGGTACAACTGTGTCATCTGCCTGAAAGACAGCTGCTGGTAAATAGCAAAATCAAAGTTTTATGAACTTGACTAGAGAAGATGCACAAATATCACCAACTCAGTGGATCAAGCTGTTTCACGGATGTTGAGCAATATAATGTATAAAAACATTAGGCCACATTCTGATATTGGAAATCAGATTTCTGCTGCTTCACATCATAGAATGAATCATGTCATAGAATGGCCTGGGTTGAAAAGGATCACGATGATCATCTAATTTCAACCCCCCTGCTATGTGCAGGTCGCCAACCACCAAGCCAGGCTGCCCAGAGCCACATCCAGCCTGGCCTTGGATGCCTCCAGGGATGGGGCATCCACAGCCTCCTTGGGCAACCTGTTCCAGTGTGTCACCACCCTCTGTGTGAAAAACTTCCTCCTAATATCCAAACTAATTTTCCCTTGTCTTAGTTCAAGACCATTCCCCCTTGTCCTATCACTATCCATATAGTTTTGCATATATGTTTGTCCATTCTGAGATACAGAGTTCCCTCTGGGCCTTGGTGACAGATCCAACGCTCAGAAGTACAACAGCCCTGAGCAAAAAACAGGAGGTAGCCCCAGTGGCACTCAGGAGCCACTTGGATCACACTCTGTGTCCTTCACGTGCTGCTGAGCCAACAGCTGCATGAGCACCGCTGTCCCTGTCTCCTGGTAGAATACCCTGGTTATTCAAGTACAGACTCAGGAATCAGGAAATGGGGACTGCAGGCTTTGTTTGGCCTGAGCCTCCTGGGTCCTTCAGGCTTCTGCATCTCCAAAGCATAATCCTCAGGGTGGTTTTGGTAGGGATATTCACCAGAATTAAATGAAGTGTGTCAGTAACACGGCAGTTCAGGGGGCAGAGAGAATGGACAAAAGCTGGGGCTGGATGTAGGGGGTAATATTTCTTCTGAAAAAAGGAAATCCCACGTTGTATTTCCAGTTCCAGGGAGTATTTCTGCATTTTATTCTGTGACTATTTGTAGAAATTGCATAAGCACCCGGAGGAGCTGGGGATTCTGGTCCAGAGCCCCCGTTCTGTACTCAGGGTCTCACCATGCGGCAGGAACAGCTTGCTCTCACCACCCACCAGGCCGAGGCTCCAGCTCCCGCGGCTCACAGCCTCTTATTTCAGAGCTGGTGCTTGAGGAGTTTTTGGCTGTTCCACAAAAGGAAACACTCTTCTTCTGCCTCCCCGAGGACACTGTTGCCCTCAGCTCGGTGACTACCAAGTGGATGTCTGCTCTGGACAGGCTGCTTGCTGTACCCACCGATTCCTGCCGCAGCTGCTCCTTACGCAACATCCAACTGTGAGTCTCCCTGTAGACCAGGGTTGTCTTTATTAATCAATAAAGTTCCTAGCAAAAGAGCTCTTCTAACTGAAGTCTATGCACTGACTGTACCCAGAGAATAACCTGCCAGTTTACAAGGTCTAAATGGCAGCACTGCAGCCAAGTACATGTATATCACTTAAGCACTCTCACATATGGATTTGATGTCTGAGGTATGGCTTTGGATCATGTCAAGACACATCAGGCTTACAAAGGCAATGTGGCTTTTTGAGGGTTTCTTAGATTTGCTATGGGAAATTAAGGGAGGGAGCAGTGAAAAATTGATCCTTTTGTTTAATTCCAGAAAGTTTTGTATCTTGTTTGGTCACAGATAGCAAATAAAGTAGGGACTTATTTGTCCCTGAAGAAAGCAAGTCTTGCTGGTGTTCTCACCAACTGACATTCTTCTCAGAGCTCTGTATTTTGCAGAAAAGCACCATAATTACCTTTTTTAGCATTAAATTGAATTGGATGGGATACACAGCCTAAGAATTATTAGTCAAAGTTTCACTGTCAACAAGAGCTTGCTCTTGAAAATTACAAGCCCAGATTTTCTTTTTAACATAAATGCCAGGCATGAACAGGGTGAGTGAGCGCCATACAACTTTCTTTTGGAAACATTGCCAGGATAGCAAAAAAGAGGATTTCTCCCCCACCTCCCTGCCAGACCGAGAGATTAGCTAGATTTTTGTTTGTTCTGTACTGGCAAGAAGGCCACATTGTGCCACGAGTATGGAGCACTGTGCGCTTTGGTTGATTTAACATGTATGCACTTTTGCAGAGTAGTGATTTCCTCAAGCAGAGTTATGCAAGTAATTCACCGTGAGGCATTCATGCAGTGATTAAGTAAATGCCTCTTCCCACAACCAGGTCATCTCCTGACAATCATTGCTTTTTCTTTTTTTGCTTTATTTTTTTTTTTTTTCCAGTTACTCAACAAATCCTTTTGCAATTACTTTTAAGCATTCTGTGTAGAGAGTGAATTTATGCACGTGGTTAATGCTTACTGCTGTTTGAGTAATATTCATAATAGATCAGAGAAGCTGCACGGTGTTGTCTCTGCATCAGTGGGTGTAAATGTCCATACCTGTGAATTTAAAACTCTGTTTTCATTTGTTTTTGGGCATGCACGTGTGTGTTCCTTTCTGCGCATATTCATGTCGGTAAAGCTAGCTGTACTTGAATGGCATGTCATGTCATGCAGGCACAGCAGCACAGCAGGGAAGCGAATCTGCATTTCTTAAATAGTTTCATGGAAAAGTCTCTGCTTCCATTCCTGGCAGCAAACGACAGAGACGATCACAGCCTCCAGAGAACGTGAAGGCGCTCTGACACTGGCACACAGAGCATGCCTGCAATCTGTGGAGCAGGGCTTGTTTGGGAAGCACGGGGCTTTGAAGGATCCCCTCTGCACTGCAAGTACCCGCATCGGGTCCTTAGACACCTGTGTGCCTCTAATGTAAAAAAGCTGTGCACAGCCCATTCCCGTCACCGAAAATGAAAAGTTAAAGGCTTGGCGCTGCTGGTGAGCGGGTGCGGATGGCTGCCCTGCTGTAGGCCTGGCTGCCCGGCTGAGGCATGCTGCCTTCAGTGGTATCCTCACCAGTGTGTGTACCAAGGTGAGCCTGCTGCCAGCTGTAGGGCTCATCTGGAGGGAGCAGGAGCCCCTAAATGAGAGACGTTGCTGAGGACAGCTCTGAGGGCATAAGGGAGCCGTGGGGCAGCAGGCCCAGGCTGAGCGCCGAGGTGACAGCTTTGTGCCATGAGGAAGGTGCAGCAGCCGCACTTCTTACCTGGACCTCTAATGGGCCGGTTAATTGGCTAATGGGGATTCCTGAGCTGCAGTGTAATGGATGCGAGTGCAGCGATTACTTAACAGAGAGACGTGTAGATCTCGGGGAGATGGCTTTGCTGGGTTGCCAGAAGTAATGGCAACAAACCAGTTGGAGCTGCTGATGCTGTTGTCACGGCTTTACCAGAAAGGCTGCTTTTCCCTCCAGCTTTTTTTTTTTTCCTTCTCAAGAGGCGATGAGCCTTTCCCTGGAACTGCTATTGAGACAAACTTCTATCACGTATTAATATGCGTAATGTGCTGCTTTGTGGCTGCTTGCTGGGCAGAGCTGCCAGGCTCACACAACGCTCGGGCTCTGTTACTGTAACTGTGGCTACTGTTGTTGGTAGCTGTTCTGGGCTTTCATTTGCCCATCCTGAGGGGACTGTAATAAAGACTGACCCCTGCTGTTAAATTGTTTGCATAATTCCTTCCTTTATTTTCCCTTTTTTTTCTTTTTTCTTTTACTTTCTTTCTTTTTTTTTCTTGACTGAGAAAGTTGATCTTACACTGGGAGAAATACCAGCCCTGTGAAAGTTTTAACACCTAATCGTATCATAGCTGAAGAAGGCATGCAGCTTCCTTAAAGCTGAGTGTGTTCTTCGTCTCTAATCCATCGCCTTGAAGTTTAGGGAAGAGATGGGTTTCCCACTTTGATTTATCTGGACTGTGCTTAATCCTGAATTTTGGAGAGGAGTTGATTTATTGTCCAGCATCAGGGAGGGGACATTAATTCCCCGCCTGCCACCCAGCATGGCTACTTGGAAAGAAGAAAGACTCCTCTGCTGTAGGTAGGATCAAAACCCATGCGAATAAGCTGAATTGAAGTGCATGTGTCCAGGCAGCTCTTCTGGAAAACTCAACTCTTCTTCCACTTAACCCTGCTGTTGCCTGCAAACTCTAGAAATACCTTACTTTTTACCCTGGAGCTTACACGGGTGTGGA